AGTTTTTTTTTAAATTTTAAGCAGCTGCGCAAAATTCTATAAAAAAAAATTTCTTACGACATTATCTAGTTAAAAAAACTGACAAAATAAAACAAATGAAAAAAATTGATTTTCCCTAAAGTTCGAATGCTTAGTATTCTGAAGGCAAATAAAATACAGAATCAAGCGGCATGTCTATTTTACGCCCTTTACTAGACCTTTCAGAAACTGTTTGTTTGAAGTTCGTATCTTTTTCAGAATGGAAGTTGTAATCCAAAAAAAATCGGATAAGTAAAAATTTCGTGAAAATTCGTTAGAATCCCTGGAAGTCGGATATCCTTGAGACTTGGCACCTCTAACCAATGATATATGTTGTTTTATGCCTTTCTGAATTATTCTGTATATAGTATAACAAATGAAAATCACTCTTATTACTAAAATTCTATATAACTAGAAGCAATTTGATTTAAATTGAAAAGTGAAAGTTCAATTTCTATTTGAAGTTTTTACTATAATTTTTTCACGGCGCTATCAAAACTAATGGAATGAGAACCAAAACTAATGGATTTTAATTAAGTTGAAAGTCTTAATTAAGATCCATTTTCATAGGATGCAAATGAAAATGGACTTAATGCAACTTAAAAATGACTTTGATGCAAATCTACCGATATCTAACTTTGTTCATATACACCTTTATTACCGTCTGAAAAGCTATCGGTTTATACTTAATTATAAGAGGCATAAAGAGAAATTTTAAGAAAACGTGGAATTTGATATTGCGAATAATCAATAGTAAATTAAAAGGAAATTTTGAAATATGTACCAAATGAAATATTTTTTTTAACTATTTTTCCTTTTAATAATAAAATATTCCAATTTTTCCACCAGTCAAAAGCAATTTGATCGATCGAAATTGACTACCCAAATCGTTTACTACATTGTTTTCATGAGAAAGTTTCCATCTTAAAATTCATTCCTATTTAAAAAATTTCCAGAATAATTAAAATATAGAATTGAAAGTAAGCGCAAATTTAAATTTTATAATTTGTTTAATTATGTAAATAAAAATTCATTTCACCTGTTACTCTTATTTTGGAATAGAAATTTTTTACATTATTATCGTCTTTATTGCGCCAAAAAACAAACTAAACTAATGAAATGAAAAATTAAATTCACCTCAAAACTTCATCTGAAATCATTTTTAAATATTCAATAATTTAATACTTTGCGCCAAAATATCCCTCCAAAAGACACAAAGATAAAGATAGCGAGGACAAAAGAAGAAAAAAACACCAGTCTCAATAATTTAATTTGAACCACTTGGCTCAAAAAAAATTTACAGATTAAAGTACATATGTTTGTGTCCTTTAAAATTTTTTTCATATCAATTCTTATTGCAATTTTTTTTCTGTTTTCATTTTTGATTCTCCTTTTAATTTCTTAAGAACTACAGATGATTTTTCGTAAATATCAAAAAATGAAAACAACAAAAACATCCCAATCGGATTCAATATCCTTTATATTTCTTCGTTTGCTTTGCACCATACCATAGGTAGTTGTGTTTTTGTAAGGAAGATCACATTTATATTCTTAAGATTTTCAATTGTTGTTGTTTCATTCCTTGCACCGTAAATTTGAACCAATACGTATAATGTGGGCATATACTTACGTATGTACATATGTACATATATACACTACTTTATAAGAAAATAAGAATATAACGAAAAGGTTACTAAATTTTTTTTAGTTCTTATTTTTTTTCAACCAGCATCTTAACGTGAGAAAACCTGAAATTTGATATGGTAAATATGTAGAGGCTCAAAGAAGGACATATATGTATGTACATACACTGCCTTCAATATCAAATTAAAAATCATCTGTTGAGCATTTTTTTAATGTTTGCTCCTTTTTGGTTGTTTTAGGCTCAATACACATAAGAAATTAATTCATCACCTGCCATTTGCCGCCAAATTTTCGTTTTCTAGATTTATTGGTGCACTAAAACTAAATATAAGAAAAAAAAAAGATTTGGAGCGCTCAAAATTTGAGCATAATAATTATTTTCGTGAATCTTTTACGAATGTTCATATAATATGCATATGCATATATACATATGTATGTAGATAGCGAAATAAGCGCAAAAATATTAAAACGTTAAATTTCGCAAAATCTCGTTCTTCTGTGGTAAAATAAAAAAAATAGGTGCATAGGGGATACAGATGCCGCAAAATATTTAATTTTGTTTGAATAAATAACATTTACATGCATCTAATATATTTCATTCGTATGTGTATGTGTTTCAAATATATATTAAGATAATTTTATTGATGTTCTGTTTCCTGCACTTCTTTAATATTTTATTACAAATGTATACATATATATGTATGTACATAACATGATTGTAAAAGCGCATGGTTAAATTTCACACACATTAGACAAAAACTCTAACGTAAGATATGTGAACGGATAGGGCAGATGGTGTTTCTTTGAAAAATTCCAATTTTAACACAATCTCATTTTAAAAATTTGGAATTTATAAACATATTATAGCAAACATCAGTTTTTAAGTTAAAAAATTTACGTACTTTCAAGGTAATATTGATTCCTAATTCTTAATTATTGATAACTTAACCTAAAATAATAAACGACATTGAAATTCGTAGCTGCGAATATATAAAATTAACAAAAAATTAATTAAGATTATTTTGCTAACTGATATTCAAGACTATATTCGAGATTATAAAATCAAAATTCAACATACATACATGCATAGATAAAAGCAAAGAATCAAGAAAATACATAATCAGTTTAAATCGTCCCCTCTATTTAATTATTTGCATGCTTTAATTCCTAGATTTCCTAAGTTTCAAATTCGTTTCAATTACTTCCCAACAAACATTGATTAAGAACGAAAACCAACAAGCCAATTTTGTATTTTCAATTTTCTTATTTAACTTTGTTTTATGTTTATTATTTTTCAATAATATTAAGTTTTGCAGTCAAATATAAAAAAATGTCTAGCAAATCATTCACCACCAAGACCGCTTCCCTTCAATAGTCTTAAATTTTAAACCATTTTCATTATAATAAAAATGCGATATGATTTTTAGATAAAGCGTGTGGCGTTGAAATATAACAAAATTTCGTCATATTTCAAACGGGACAAGCAAAAAAAAATCCCCTAATAGGAATATGGAAATGCCATGAAAATAGGAATATAGAAATGCCATGAATTTAAATACCAGTAATTTCGTAGGTTTTTGCGTTTTGCAAAAAAAATGTATGTGTCAAAAATATTTTAATTTTGGAAATAGTGGTTGGATAAAGCAATATCAAAAAGCACATTTTAAGTTGTAATGATAAGCTTATTCAAATGCTCATAGATTTTCATTCGTTCTTACACTTAACTGTGTTGAATCAAAGAAAAATAATAAGTAAAATAATTCTAAGACTAAAACCTTTCATATATAAGGTTTATTGATGCACAGATCAATGATGAAATTGATGTTCTTAGAAAGCTGCGTGACAACGAAACAAATAAAAAAAGTAGTTCTGAAAAGCAAACGAAAAAAAAAAAACAAATACAGAACTATGAATTTGGTTTGAATAAAGAAGAAAAAATAAATGATTAATTTGAATTTCAATAAGAAGACCAGAGTTTGCAATTAAGAAGAAGGGCAATATATTCAATGTAAGCAATTTTTTTTCTCTTTTAAATAGTAAATTAAAATTTTGCAATATTTTAAGCAGTTTTCACCATTGCTAACTATAAATGGTTCAGTTATCTGTGGTTTATGTTTTTTACCCTGCACTGCCAAGTCATTGTGAAGAGAACCTAATGCGAGTTAAATAGTTATTGAATTGGATTAAGTAGAATTTTTCGCTTTTCCTTTTGCAATTTTTTGAAACATATTAAAATAAGAATTGGAATTCGAAATACTATCTATAGGATCATTAAGAATATTTACAGAATTTTGAAAAAAAGAAAGTAGAACGTTATAATTTCCATTTTTACATCCTGTACCTTCGTGAAGGGTATTACCACTTTGGTATGGAGTTTGTAACCACTTGAAGGAGTCGTATCCGGTATGGGCATGTGTATATATTCTTGCTCAGCGTAAAATTCTGCGTTGGTTTAGACATATCCGTCCGTCCGTTCATCCGATCACACGATAACTCAAAAACGAATAATGCAATCGACACCAAACTTTCACAAGTTGTTTCTTTGCTGCCAAGAACGGCTGCTATTGTAATTGGATCAATTCGGACAACGGGTTCGGGTAGCTGCCGTAGAAGGCAAAGAGGTTTTTTTAGATATTTTAAAACTAAAAGAGATATCAAATTTTGCAAAGGTGTGTCCAATTACATTTTACATGCGTTCTGAAAATTTTATTGGAATGGCTGCACTAGTTCGAGTAACTGCCATAGAACTCCAAATGCTAATTTTATATATTCGGAAAAATAATAAAGCTACATTCCTGAAACTTGGTGGTCGTGTGTCCAATTTCGGGTCACATATATCCCTGACATGACATACATTATTCAGTTACCATACAATATTCAGAAAAATTTAAAACGTTAGATTCATGAAACTTGGCAGTTCTGTGTCCAATTATAGGTCAGACACATCCATGATTAGCTTGACAGGTTCGAGTATTTGCAACAATTGTCAAAGTGCAGTGTATAATTCGGTCGCCTTATATCATCTGAAACGTTTTTACTTGTTTTGTTTCCAAAAAGGGTATCTGGCCAGTCTAATCATGCAGGTCGAGTTATTGATTAAAATTTTTAATCAATTTATTTATATGTTTAGTTTACATTAAACTTTTATCGCATATGGAGATGCTCATAGTCTATCTCATGATTTTTTTAATAAAAAATCTTAATCAAGTGAAATCACTCGTAAGTACGTACTTATAGTAAATATATAAAAAATAGTAATTACAAGTTAATCAAGAAGAAGTTCGGTATGTTTTTCAAAATATAATTTTAAATTTTAAAATATTTTTTAACACGAATTGTATTTGATAATATTTTATAAAGCTGATTATGATGTAACAAGTGATTTACAACAGAAGAAAGTCTTTACTATTGACCATGAGTTAATATATAGGATAGAGAAAGATGACAATATTTCGATTGATGCTACCAAATATTTTAATCAGAGTAAATTAAGTCATTCTTTTGAAAGCTCGTTCCGTTTTAATGAAATAAAATTTACCGATTTAATTGGATTAAATTTTACTTTAATTAATTTACAAGATGACCTTAATCGATTTCGATTATCAGTGAAATTTTATCAACGAGAAAAAATCATTCAATGGGAGTATCAACGAAATGAAATGCAAACCCTTCATACATTTGATATAAAAAAGATTAATGTAAGTATGTGTGTGAATAAAACTAATGAGAATAATTTAAATTTTTGATAATTTAAAAATGTGTGCTCTTCTACCAATATATAATTGTTATTTAAAGCAGTTCAGATGTTAGAGTAGTTAAGTTATTAAAAATATACGATATTGTTAAAAATTCTTAATAATTTCATGATTATTCCATAAGATCACCAAGATTTAAAGTAATTTCGTTATACGTATGGAGATAGAAGAAAATATATTAGGTATCGCATCAATTTTGAAAATTACTTGTTTGTATAATACTTTGCATCTATATGACAATAAGAATGTGAATACGTGCGTAAATCAAATCAATTCTAATCAAATTAAAAAGTACACAGCGCTACACATACAATGTATGTACATATCTCTTTAATCTCAATACAATGAACTCGAAATAACATTAAATTTTGATATAGTTACAAAAATTTTAAAATTTTGATAACGCTGTGTTAAGAATTCAAACAGTTTACATTCTTGAAATAAATTCTAAATAAATCATATAGCATATTTAGACTCTATATGATTATAAGTATATATAATTAAAATTCTTATTGTTATAATTATAAAATTTTAACAGCTGCCCAACAAAGTTCTTGACACAATATTTTTATTATTATTGTAGGTTTTCGACGGGAAGTGGCATACTTTCAAATATTTCTTATACAAACCAAGTTTTTGTGGCATAAGATTAAAAACATTTTTAGATTGTAAGATTTTACAAAGAACTTCAATTTATACTCATGGAACTGATATAGATTTTAATAAAAAGCTTCTTTTGGATCAATTAATATTTTCTATCGGACATTTAACAGATGATGATAACAATAATGAAATGGTTCCAGTAAGTTTATTAAAAAATACTGTAATTTTAGCTTTAAAAAATATAACTACAACTTGTTCAATTTTTTTTTTGTATTTTAGTTTGACTTAAAAATAATGAAATTTTCAAAGAATCTAGCTGAAAGTTTGCATAAATGTTGTCTTTTGAAAGATGTTGAACAATGCAATAGCAATTACAATTCATTGAGTCATATTACAAGTAAATCAAAGCGATCCAAAGATGTTTCAAATTTTGTATTGGCCGATATGAGTAAAAATATTGAAGACCTAAGAATTTATGATGAATTCCAATACGAAAAAAGCAAAAGTGGAAACTCTACTGGAAAGAATGCAGAGTTTTTTAAGAAAAGGCCCGTTCCACCTGTGATTATAATTATTTATTTTTTGTTCTCCTTTGGATTAGTGTTGCTTTTATTACTGAAGAGATCTAATTAAAAATAATGTATAAAAGAAAATTAATATTGAAATTGTCTCAGAATTAAATTAATTTAATTATAAGAGAAAGGTAGGCTCATTTTCCATCAACAATTGTTTTTTACATTCAACTATATTCGCATGTAGAAATTGCAACTATTTTTACCTAAAAATCTTGCAAAATTTTGTAAATCTTGTTTGTCATTAAAAAATTTTAAGCGCGAAATATCTGTTTTCTTTTATTGTAAAAGTACAATGAAACCCAAAAACAAGTTGTATACTTTCTTTATTGAATCCTTGAGATTCTATTCTTTATTTTATAAGGATATAAAAATATTTCAAAACAAATAAATTTTGCGCGCACATGTGGAATGATGTACTTTACTATTAGAATTAATAGAGGGTAAAAAATACACATGCGATACGCAATGCGCATGTACAAATAAATCAAACAAGTAAACATAAATTTTGGCGCGAACAATACGTTTTCTATGTGCATATGCCTTTCATACACAAATACAACCTAAATTTACTATAAACCTGGAAGCATAATAAATGATCAGAAAAAAAAAATATTGAATACATATATAAAATCTTTATATCCTTTTCCATCAGAGATATCCTCATTATATTAATGTCAAAAAATGGTAAATCCCGATTTGGATACACCCTTATTTTCAATAGTAATACGATTCAATTGCTATCCTCAGCAAGGATATTTTCATTTGTATGAATAGTTAATTTCCATTTTAATATTTTATAAAATTTTGTTCTTTTTATTTTTTTCTTGTTGTTGATTCGAAAAATTATGTGATTGCGGACCTTTACGGTGATTAGACTTTTAATAAAAGGTAATAAAAAAAAGTTACTTTGTTCCTTTGCATTCTTTAAGCAGCTAAACATTGGAAAAAAATTTTTTTTCATTTTTTTTCTTATTTTTGTTACGTTCTTAAGTTTGTAATTGAAAAGATCCTTTTTTTGTTAAGGTTGATATTTTTATATACAATCGAGTAAAAATTTTTTTTATTTGTGTTTATAATATACAAAATCTATAGTATTTTCTTACTACAGCCCTATTTTCCCGAGCATTATCGAGAATGGAAGCCTGCGATTTAATCTGGGAAGTTAATGCCGAATTTGCGTACTTAAACGAATATCAGCTAGAGTATTTAAATTTGCATAAAAATTTTGAAATTTTATAAAATAATTACATTCTCAGTAATTAAATAAAAAGTTTTAACGGTTAATTGGAATTATGAATAAAATTATATTACATTTTATAATTGCTCTTTTTCCTTTAACATGCCATTTGGGCAAGCCTACATGGTTCTAATCTAAACCTGTAATATAAGAATTTATTTTCATTGATAATTGAAAAAAATTTATCGTAAACTAATTTAATTACAAATAGTTGATTAAAATAACATGAAATTTGCAATGCTAAAAATTTTTTAGAGGTTGAAAGCGTACTTTGTCTTTTTTTTGACTATCCCACCGGTTATATCGGCATCCCAGAAAAAAAAGCGCAAAAAAACCGCAGCACATGACTAGTCAGGAGTAAGTAAGCAATTCAAATACACAAAAGAGGATACCAAATTGATATTCTTCTGTATTTGTTGCTGAAAAGCCGAAATGGTAAGAATGAGGCACTAAATTTTTAAAGCACATATAACTGCGTTAACACATATTGTAAATAAAGGAGTATTAAAAACCGGGAAAGTTACACAATGCAATTTATCCTTATATTTTCCTTCAAGGATTCATTGAACTCTCTTTTTGTTCAATTAAGGTGTATTAAAGTGCAAGGGCAGGTATAAGAAACGAAACAATTATTATAAGAATTTAGACTACGAATTTATTATTAAAAGAAAAAAAAAGAAATAGGAAACAAAAAAATTTTTTTTTATTTTAAACTTCTATAGTGAAGGTGCGTGTGTGCCTAACAAGGTGCCTATCTCGTGGGTAGACCGTGGGAAAATATTCCTGGAAAAGTAAAAATAAATAATAATAAAGAAAAATAGATTAAAAAATACATGTAGATTTTTTATATTACATGTACAATAGGGATTTTGTACAATGATTAAATTAGAAGACAATTTATAGTACTATGCGATGGATGAATAAATTAAATGACTGAAATTAAAACTGAAAAAAAATTTTCTCAAGGAATCAAAGTTAATGTTGGTATTAAGATTCAGGTGGGTTTTTTAAAAAATTTTTGAAAAATTTGAAAAGACAGAGAAGAACGGAATTCAAATTCGAAATGAACACAAATCACAGTAAAGTGATTTAAAATAGCTACTGCCACTTTTAGATTTAATTGTTAAAAATGATTAGTAAATACTAAAAATTACGATTGATTATTGATAATTTTTGCAATAAGGAAACTTTCTTGTAATTTTTTCAAAATTCTTATTTCAATACAAATTTGTATGTTGACAATATTTTTGTAGAAAATAAGAAGTAATAGCCTTTTATAAATAAAAGCACACAAAAGACTAGAGCAATGTGGCTTAAGGAATTGTGGCTATTCAATATCAATTATCAATATACAAAACAACACCATTGGAAATTTGTAATATAATTTTAAAATAATTATTATTTTTGACACATCGCGCTACAGCCTTGTCATTTTAAAACTTCTTAATTTTGCTTGAACAATACTTAGCAAATTTTCAATATTTATTAAATATTTCTGTTTTTATCCCCTAAGACCGCGGTCCAATCATCTAAATTTTGTTATTAAAATTTCCATCTATACATGACCGATATTTTTAGACTCATGAAAAATTTTAGCAATAAATCCTTTAGCATATTGAGTGATGAAGTTTGCAATTGAGTTAGACAACAACCCTTTCCAAAATATCACTGCCTGTTATTGTGTTAGTAAAAAACTTGATTTGATTTCAAAGAAAAAGCATAGTGTTTTTACTTCTTGCGGCCATTTGTATGAGTACTCATGCACAGTTCTTGTATGAATTATATTTTATTTAAATATAATTATTACGTTAATAATTATTATAACTATTAAATATTTTATTTATTTCAATTATATAAAATAATTATAGAAAATAATTGTAAGAAAATAATTCTGCAATTTATATTTTATAAAAAATTTTGTTTTTGAAAAACATTTTAGATACATTAAATACTCCCTTTAGAAAACAAAACAGCTGCCTTTACCACGAAAAGTATAAAACCAAAAAAAAAAACTTTCAAAATTAGGAATGGCTCAAAAAAATTAAAGAATTTTAAACAAAAATCAAATTTGCGTCAATTTAAATACAGCTGAGAACTCAAAAACCAAAAAAAAAAATTAATAAAAAACAAAATTCAACAAAACACTACAAAACTTAAAAATCGACAGATTGCATCGAATTTTTTTTGCTACTTCTTCTGATTTTCTGTTTTTTTTTTTATATAAAAGTGTACACATAAATGAATTCAATATACTGACCAGTTCTTCAAAAGTCCCCAATTATCAGAAGTGCTTTATACTAGCCTAATATAGCGAAGGAAGAATACTACATACAAGCCAGAAAAAAAATATTTTTGCGCGCAAAATCCAAAAAAAAATCCAATTCTAAGTAGAGCATATGATGAACAACACATCCAAAATAATAAATACAAAAATTCCTGTGAATCCTTGAAAATCAATAAAATTTTTGAGCAGCTCAAAAATAAAAAAACTAAAAAAAAATGATACCAAATCACTTTTTTGTCTCTTTTATGTTTTTATCGGGCTACAAACATATTCGTTCGTATACAAGGATATAAAAACAACAACTTACAAGAAGAGAGAGGGGACGATAACATAAAAACGAGTTTGTTTTTTTGCTTTTTGAGCAGATGTTTTAAAAACATCATCATCATTTTATGCTTTTATTTATCTTTTGCTTTTTGTTCTGTTATTTTGCTTTTTTTTCATGTAGCTCTTTTTTTACCAAAATAAGTCCTACGATGACTTTGCTCAAAAACAACAAATTTTTTTTTCTTTTTCATTAATTATTTCCCACTTATCTACGCACTCAAACTTAATAATATACTAAATAACCTTGTACATAGCGGTGCAAAACTCTTATACATATGTGGATTGCAAAATGAAGCTACACAATGTTTTGAATTGTGAAATTTCAAAGGAACAAATTTACAACATCAGGACAAATAATATTGAGAAGAATGTATTCATCAACATTGGCTCAAAAGCTCAAAAATTCGAATAAAGAAAAAAGACTAGAAAATAATGAACAACTGAAATGATACGATTAAGCGCGTAAAAATTGGCGGGAATAATTTTTTTTTAAATTTAATTTTACTTTTTATTTTGATTATTTTATTTTAAATGCTCATTTTGCACCACCTTTTGTTTTTGCATGTTTCGCAAAGAAATTATAATTCTTCTATAAAAAATTAAAGATGTTTGATTTTTTTTATCTCATTCGTATTGTAAAAGTATATAGAACGGAACATGTCCTTGAGATAATAATCTTGTCATAAAACAGCTCAAAAATATTTTTTATATATACAGTAAGCTATTCATATTCTTTACTGTTATATTATCGTATTGTATACAATTGAAGGGTAATATACCAAGTTCCGCTATTAATCAAACCATTTTATTTATTTCGTGATTTTTAAACACGCAGCGATAGAAATGAATGGATTTCCTGTTTTATTGTTTCCCACAGTTTTCAATTCGACTTACAATTACTTGAACCATACAAACAGACAACTTTTACTTTAAAAAAAATTAAAAACATACTAATTGTTGTTTTTTTCTAGATTTTCATTGAGCATTTCAAAAAGAATTTGATTTTGAGCGCTCAAAAATAACATAAAAAACATAAAAAGAAATTCATGTTGAAAATACAAAAAATACGTACATAAGAGCGGGAGTATGTCCTTTTCATTTAATTTTTTTTATGTTTTAAATTCTTTGTGGTTTGTCTAATAGGAATTAACACAAAAAGCGGGAAAGTATATAAAACCTATAATTAAATCAAATATTAATGGATTTATTTCGAAGAAAACAAAATTAGAAATTACCGACTAAGCGGATAACGGATATGGAAATGTCTTGAACAAGTATATAAGTAGGTTTATTTTGTCTTTCAGTGATTTGTAAAGAAAGAAC